GAGATTTCTTCATGAGCCAGTTTGAGAGACGACACAATGGTGAGAACAGTGTCCAAATATGTTTGCATGGAATCGGTCCCCTTAGTAACACCATGTAAACGCTCCTTCAACTGAAAAATATGAGTGCGTGAAAGAGAATTGTACCGTTGCTCTAGATGATTCCAGATTGCAGCCGCGGTGGGAAGAGCGTGAATATGGGTTTGAACCGTGGGTGAAACAATAGCGAGGAGACAGGCCCGAATCTGAGCGTCAACAATATGCCATGATTCATAGGCGGAATTGGGCTTCATAACCGGGGATTCATCCTTCCCCGGTGCCGCAGCCTTCTCATCGAGAATAAGAGGCGGAGGAGATGGTTCAGATCCATCCACATAACCGAGAAGACGATGAGCGAGGAGATTTGCACGGACAGTGGCCGACCAAGAGGGATAATTGGTGTTATCAAGCTTGACCGGAGTTAGAGATTGAAGATTTCGGACAAACAACTTGAGTCCCGTAGGAAGACGATCCATCGGATCAGAGGATACAGGAGCCATGGCTGAGCACGGCTTGAACAAAGAAGAAGAAATCGGCAGTGCCGAAAAAATTTCGGTGATTAACGCAGCAAAGGGGAGAGACACGGATCTTTGTGCTCTGATACCATGTTGATTTATGAATTCACTCTTAAAGAATAATTGTGTACAAGGATGTTTATATAGGTGAGGATCCCTACATGGACTAGGATTCACCAAATATGTAAACTAACATAAATACAATTCTGCTATAACTAGACTTCTTTCCATATATGTCTAACACTTACTATAACGTAACACTAAAATTTAACATACATTTCTCAAATTCCAACATCTTTTAAGAGTGCTTCTTTGGTGTACCTAAAATCTATAAACATTTTGTGGATCTTCTCACATAAAAATTAGTTTTAATTTTTTTAAAAAAATATATTCGTTTTAACATTAAGCATATGCTTATCAGCCTCATCTGTCGGTACACCGTGGACGGTAGAATTTACCTTTTTTTTTAATGGAAAAGTTTTGTGGGAGTGTAGATAGAGTAAATGACAATATCACATTGGATGTGATTAATATTGATTTGATATATACTACCATACGTACTCCTTATGTGTCTGTTTACCTTTAGTATGTGCACAAGCCAATCCGACCAGAAGAGCAAAAGAAAGTGTAAAAATGGTGAGAAGGATATGGTTGACCGGATGCTTTTCTGAATACGCACACAATCCAATCAACACTGGAGAATGAATGCCATGCCATGCCATGAAAAGAAAAAACAAACAAACGAACCATATATGGATTAACTAGTAAGTTTATTTGGAATTTCAGCAAGTTCTTAAATTACTCTACTCCTCGTTCCAAAATTATCGTCATCTTTTTCAATATTCATTGGTCAATATTGAAATTTTACACAATTATATATTTAGATAAATCGAATTCAAAATGAACTCAATGAAGCCTCGTTGTCTGAAATAAGCCAATAAATTAAGAATGTTTCCTCATTACTCCTTCCGTTCTACAAAACCCTTTCCCTTTCGTTTTTTTTTAATTCCCTAAGGTAGTGTTTGGCAACTAAGATTTCATTTCAATTCGTGTATTTCAATTCCAAAATTTAAAATCTTGAATTTCAAATGACAAGGGGAGGTGCTTGGATTTAAAATTAAGCTTTGTTATGAATGAGAAGAATTTGATTCAAATCCAAATTCAAAATTTGTAAGTTTCCAAACATGGAATTTGAGCCAAATCCGGATTTGAAATCCAAATCCATGTTCCCAAACATACCATTAATACTTCCACTTTTTATTAAAAAACCACTTTTACCCTTATTTTTTCATACCCTACCTATCACATCATACTTTTTCTCTAATAATCAAACTATCACATCTTACTTTTACCCATCACATCAGGAGCAAAATTGGAAAGTTAACCAAAATTACATTTTCCTTATTTTTGCCCAAAGTCAAAAGTGGAAGGGTTTAAAGGAACGGGGGAGTAGCTTATTGCAAATAACTACAGTAGATCTTAATTTTTTAAGGCATCGAAACATTCATTAATTCAAAGTATCAGCAACCTAAGAAAATAAATACAACAGTTTGTAACGTATACTCCCTCCGTTCCAAAATTAGTTACACTTTGAGCCACATACAAAACCCCATGATTTTTAAAATAATTTTACTTACAAATTTATATAGAACTTAAAAAATTTATATATGTAAAAAATACATCAAAAACTTTAAAAAATAAGAAGTGACAAGAATATTTTAATTTATCAAATAATCAATGAAAACATATAAACAAATAAAAGTTTTGGAGAGACTATAATAATAAAGAGAAAACTCATTTTGGGACAAAAAATAAAAAACTAACAGAAGACTTACAAATAATGATAAAAATAGAGAAATAAAAAGAATTGACTTAAAATAAAATCTATTCATTTTTTTTATTAATTAACTTATAAATACCGAAAAACATGGAATCAACTAACTTATAATTAAATACTCCATCCGTTTTAAAAAGAGTTCCCCGTTTGACCAAGTGAAAAAATAAAGAAGTATTAAATTGTAGTTAACTTTCAATTTTGCCCTTGATGTGATGAGTAAAAGTAAGATCAGATGTGATGAATAAATTATTAGAGAAAAAGTATGATGTGATAGGTAAGATATGAAAATAAAAGTGGATTTTTAATAGAAAATGAAAGTGTTTTGTTGGAAGTGAAAAAAATGAATGAGGAATATTTTCGAGAATAGTTATTTGGCCATACAAATGAACATATATTATCCCCTAAAAGTAGGGTAATACAATACCGATGAAGGGGGTGATGATGATAAGAATTTGGACAACGATTCCAGCTGGGGTGGACGTTAAAAATTGTTGGATGGGATGGATTTTGACGACGGCGTAAGCCACTCCGGCGGTGAGGAAGATTTGGATGCTCAAAATGATGTACACCTTTCGAATGAATCCCCACCGGTGTTCCGGCGGCTCTTCCGCCACCGGCTTCTTCCCTCCGGCCTCTATGTCAACGCCGCCCCTCCACATCGCCTTCAAACTCCAATCACAATAATATACATTCACAAAACATGCACACTCGTTTAATTAGTGTCCTCCTCAGCTCGTTTATATATATATATATATATATATATATATATATATATATATATATTTATATATATATATATATATATATATATATATATATATATATATAAAATAATTATATATAGTCCCCCCCCCAAATGTGACAAGGGTGTGTCATGCTCCCACCGTTCTTAAAAACACTTTCCATTTTGATCAAGTGGCAAAATAAGGAAGTGTTCAATTGTATTTGACTTCCAATTTTGCCTTTAATGTGATAGATAGATTATTAGAAAAAAAATTATATGATATGCAGGTAAGAAAAAGTAGGGATAAAAATGATTTTTTAATATAAAGTGAAAATGTTTTGGTGAAAGAGAAAAAATGAAACAAGAAATATAATGTTTTGTAAAAGAGATGGAATAGCTTTTATTATCGAAATAAAGGTACAATGAAAGTGTGGCATGCGAAAGTGGCCAATGTCCCGTGGAATATAGCGATGTGGCAGACGAGCAATAGTTGACAATGACAGTATAAATTGTTGTTTAGGTCATGAAGGATTAAGATTCCTATTTTATTATTTTGATCATATCATTGCACTTATATGTAAGTTCTCATTTAAAAAGAGTAAATCCCCAATTATAGGTCGTTTTACATATTTAGTCCCTACATATCAAATATTACTAATTTAGTCCTCAATTATTATATTCATTTCCACGAATGGTCCTTTGTTAATAATTCCGTTAAGAACGTGAACAAAATTGTATATTTATACTTCTCTCTCCTCAATTAAGCTTCCTCCATCTTCTCATACTCTTTCCCAAACTCGTCACTGAATTTAAGCTCTTAAATCCAAAATTTAAATGATCATTCATCCAGTTAGATAAACAATTGAGAGAAGAGTGATAATTTTGGTTTTTGGTTCAAAGCTAGAAACTCAGCGACGGGTTTGGGATAGGAGTGCAAGGGAAGAAGGAAGCTTAATTGAGGAGAGAAAGGAGTGCGAATTTATAATTTTATCCACATTCTTAACGAAAATGTTAACAAAGGACCATTCGTGGAAATGANTCTCTCCTCAATTAAGCTTCCTCCATCTTCTCATACTCTTTCCCAAACTCGTCACTGAATTTAAGCTCTTAAATCCAAAATTTAAATGATCATTCATCCAGTTAGATAAACAATTGAGAGAAGAGTGATAATTTTGGTTTTTGGTTCAAAGCTAGAAACTCAGCGACGGGTTTGGGATAGGAGTGCAAGGGAAGAAGGAAGCTTAATTGAGGAGAGAAAGGAGTGCGAATTTATAATTTTATCCACATTCTTAACGAAAATGTTAACAAAGGACCATTCGTGGAAATGAATATAATAATTGGGGACTAAATTTGTAATATTTGATATGTAGGGACTAAATATGTAAAACGACCTATAACTGGGGACCTTTTATGGAATTTACTCTTTAAAAAACCTTTCTTCTTTTATTTATTACAATTTTTTTAATTAAAATTAAATCATTTGCTTTGTATTTACGTATCCCATCAAAGGATGTAATTTCAAAATTCTCATATTTGACTTTTCATTCATATTTTACGTTGCCGTCGAATTTAAAACGAATAAAAGTCCTCCCTCCGTCCCAAATAAGTTTTTTCACGTTTCAAAAAAACCGTGTCCCAAAATGTCCTTCCCATTCTATTGAAAAACTATTTTTACCCCTTACTTTTTCATATCTTACCTATCACATTATACTCGGAGTATCTTTTTACTAATAATCTACACATCACATCCTATTTTTACCCATCACATCAAGGTTATTTTTGAAAAATTAACATGAAATTATCCTTTTCTTATATTATCACTTTAGTTAATATGTTTCTATGTTTATGGGACGGAGGAAGTATAAAACTGTGTAGAGTTGAAATTCAATGAAAAATAACAATTTTATTTTTGAATTCAACGAAAAAGAGATAAAGTTGTAAAAAAAAATCCGGTCAGAGGTCATTTTGGAACAAAGCCGGGTCGGAGGTCGTAAAGCTCCTTTCGGAAAGCTGCTTTAACAAAAAGCCAAAAACTTCGAGACTCTTTCAAAAACATTAGTAGCCCAAATCAATACCCGAAGATCATATGAGATATTTAAGATAAATCTAGTTTTTTGTAGTCTTTAAGTCTATGTTTTTCATATGAACTTTATTACATAAAATCTATGTTCTTAATTTATATAAATTTTATCACATAAAGTTACTGTATGTATTGGTTTTTGTACAAAAAAAGAGATTCAATTATGAGCTCATTAACAATATATGAGAAGATCTAAAATTTACATATGAATCTTAGGATCACAATAACACAACTCTTAAAATAAATAAAGCTCATACAAAACGTAGGGTCAGAGAGTTAGAATCCAAAAAATAAGAGTTTTAGATAAATCTGGTAAAAAATGACCTGACCTGTATTTGATCCGAAAACACTGAGTTTTGAACAAAGATACGGTTTTGATGACCGAACCTGAAATGATCCGTTAAATAATATTATATAATTATCATATTTTTTTTCAAAATTTGAGCATTTTTTAAATTCATTATATTGATTTATATATCCAAAAATTACTTCAGAATTTAAAATAAAATAATGTAATAGATTTAGTACATATTTTTTGATATTTTAAATTTATTATATACAAAATACAAGTGTTAATGTGGATTTAAAATTTTAAAAACTAAAGTTATAACTCGTTGGGTCGACCCGAACTTGATAAAATTGGGTCACGACTCACGGACATACAATTCTCAACCTGAACCCGAATGGACTCGAACCTGAAATAATCTGAACCCGAACCTGAAATAACCCGAACTTGAAATAACCTGAAATAACCTGAACCCGAACTTACAGTTTGCTAATTCCTTTTTCAGTTGATGAATCCGCGGACCGTTTGCCACGAAGAACCTTGCCTTTATGTCATTCCACAGATCTGCCGCAACTTCTACTTGGGTAATATAATAGAGTTGCGCAGATCGATTGGTAGATCCATGAAACGAGCATCGCGTTCACAATCCACCATTCTTTGGTATTGTCTTTGTCATCTTTTGGACAGGGATGACTTCCATCAATAAATCCAAATTTCCTTTTGGCACAGAGATCTATTCGCATAGCTCTAGCCCATTTCTCGTAGTTTCTTCCAGTTAGTTTTACCTGTGTAATCAATAATCCCGACTAGGGGTGTACACCGGTCCAGAACCGGACCGGACCGGAACCGGAAACCCGGAATCCCCTAAAGCATAGGACCGGAAACCGGACCAGTTAGATTCTGGTCCGGACCGGTTTTTTCCGGTCCGGTCCGGGAAAAAATCTGAAAACCCGGAATTTATTTTTTCTATTTCTTTTTGTCTATTTTTTAAACTTGTTATTCAAATTTGTAGCTTGATTTGATCTGAATTGATTTCAACCCTACATTTAATTTTTATATAAATTGGGTGTGTTTCAAGAAATTATATTAATATAAAATATTTTTATCAACAATATAATAGGTGCAAAATGATTTTTATACTTCCGTTAGTTTTGAAATTTCAAAAATATTATAAAGTTTTACTTTAAATTACTTTGGTTTTAGCAAGTCTAATTTATACGTCAAAGTATTTAATACTTTAAATTGAAAGATTCTACTTCAATTTTTGGGAAATAATTTTAGTTTTTTATAATTATGGATATTCTTGGGTAAAGGTCAATGAAATGAATTAAAAAATAAAAATTACATTTAAAAAATTATACTTCATATTAAAGTAAGAAGGACAAATGAAAATATACAATTTTATTTATAATTATACGTAAACTCCGTATCATAGGTATTAATTTTTTTTAAAAAAAATAGACAATTCGGTCTTACCGGTCTGACCCGGAAACGATCCGGTCTTGGACTGGAATGGACCGGAATTTTACCGGTCTAAAATCTTTAGACCGGAGACCGGTCCGGAATTTTACCGGTCTAGCCCGGAATCGGTTTTCCCGGTCCGGTCCGGTTTTCCGGTCCGACCCGGATTTTGTACACCCTTAATCCCGGCGTGTCCACAGACTACTTTTGTGGCCTTTGTTTCTTCGGCGTCGACGTTTCTTTTGGTTGGAACGACCTCAATCTTTGGAGTTTCACTTATGGATGGTCCGGCTAGGGTTTTCCAACAGTTTCAAAGTATCGACGCTCCGATACCATGTAAAACCGAGAGACAGAGAAAGGAGACTCAAGTTTGTTTATTGCCTTTTTGCTTGAGTTTTACAAGAGATCTTCCCCTGAATCTATAGGGAGAGAATAAAACAAGTCCTAGGAAAAGAAATCTACAAACAAGAAAACAGAATCAAATAGGGAAACTAATACTCCGTAGAACATGGAAACTTCCAATTCCTTCTTGCGCCACACGCATGTGCCATGCGTGACAATTTATGGTCCACCCTTTAAGACTAAGAATTACTTCTTCCGTCCCACTATATTTGTCCACTTTCATTTTTGCACACCATCTAATACACTTCTTTAATTCATTTTATCTTGTAATTTGTATATTAAAAAATTATAGAAATTATATATTAATAATCTACTCCCTCCGTCCCATAAAACCTTTTTCCTTTCTTTTTTCATCCGTCCCACAAAACACTTCTCATTTCTATTAAAAAGTCACTTTTACCCTTTACTTTTTCATACCCTACCTATCACATCATACCTTTTTACTAATAATCTATCCATCAAATCATACTTTTACCCATCACATCAAAGGACATTTTTGGAAATTCAATACCAAAATACACTACCCTTAAATCACTTCTAAAAAGCAAAAGTCCCATGTTTCACGGGACGGAGGGAGTATATCTTAAGACAAATCACACAAGATCACACATGACTATATTTAAGCTTACACATTGAGAGAATTTGATGAGTCAAAGTGCTTAGATGAACAGTTCCAAAAGTCAAAAGTGGACGAATATAGCGGGACGGAGGGAGTATAAAATTCTCATGAAGTATTACTATAGTTATTTTTTAGATGAAAATGACTATTATTATTATTATTATTATTATGAGCATTTAGTATAATGGAATGCTATTACGCTTTTTTACTATTTATATAAAGAATTTTCAGTTTTGTACGGTAGTCCTCTGGAAGAAATAGCAGCCCTTCCTGCCCTAAAGACAAAGAAAGGTTTTAAAGGGATAATTAGTGGCCTTTTGGCGAGAAAAGGTGAGAGTACCCCTACAAGTACATGTAGAACAACAATAAAATTGCACAACGAACTTATGACGTATCAAGGCGTTCGATGCGACTACGATGAAGACAACGACAGTGAGTTGACATCTTAGACTTATGGAAGCAAAATGAACACATGTTCCCATCACTCAAAATGCTAGCCATACAGGTTTTATCTATGCTAGTTTTAGCCATAGCTATGAAACAAGAGTTCATAGCTAAAGAAAATATTTTTCTTTGACCTTCCCATATGTTATGACAACACCCCTTGTTCTCATAGCTTCATTTCTTAACTTTAAGACACAGGGCCCATTACCTTATCTTGAACGTGACCTGACTATATTCAATCTTCTCGCCATTCCGCCAATCCCGGGAGAATATGAACCCTAAACAATCCGCTAGATCTGCCTTGAGGTATAATTTCACAATTCATTTGACGAACAAAAAAGAATAGTAACAATTTTCAAAGGTTATACCTTTCAAATGATTTTTTTTTATTTTTTAAAATGGTTAAGAGTGTAATTTTGTATTGTTCATTAGACACGGTGATGCCATTAGTTCAAGCTTTGAGATCATATCTTACACAGTCCCCCCCCCATTACCCTTATATATTGGTCTAAAGCTTCAAAATATATTCTGTTCTTATTGCGCGTTAGGATGTTTAACTAAAATTATTTCCATACTATTCTATATGACGAAAAATGGTGTTAATTTTCTAATATATAATTTTTATTTACTCCCTCCGTCCTATATCTTTCTTTCCGTTGCGCAAAACGAAGAAAAATTCCAAGTTTTTTCAATCTATTTTATTTAAATATTGGTATAGAAATAAAAAATAAAACATACATACTTAAAAACTACATCAAAAGTTCAACAAAACAAGTAGTGACAAGAATATTTTATTTTATCATATAGGTCATGAAAAAACACAAATAAATATAAATTCCCGTGAAATTGGAATAGTGCTCTGAGAAGAAAGTTTTAGGACGGAGGGAGTATATACTAATTTGTAAATAAAATTAAAAATGAGAAATTTTGCATCGTAAATCTCAATTTATAATCTAAATATAGGGACAAAGAAAGTATCTATGTATAAATATAAATGTTAATGGTCAAAAGTTACGTTGGGTATAAGTCAAATAGGAATATTAAATCTAAGAATATACTCTAGTACGAGTAATTTCGAAAATATCTTTTCAAAGGTACGAATTTAACCTCTAATCCTTTTAATTTAGTATTTTGAATTTTATTTCTTGCTTCCATCACTTGTGATGTTATTTTCCTTTTTGACGGCGTTACTTGTGATGTATGATATATCTTTGAAAAATTAACGGATATTAGTTTAGTATTTTTCTTTTGATGGAAGAAAATATTTTTCTCCAACTTATGCTACTCCCTCCGTCTAAACATTATCTTCTCGTTGCGCGTTACGATGTTTAATTAAAATTATTTTCATACTACTTTATATGACAAAAAATGGTATAAAATTAAAACATATACATAAAAAATCTACAAAACGAGAAGCAACATGACTATATTATTTTACCAAATCGGCAACGAAAGTAAGCAGGACAACAAAGTAAATAAAATTTGACCATGTTAATAGTGAACGGGA